AAAAAAAAAAAAAAAAAAATTGACATTGTGTGTTATGTTCGGAGGATATTTGGAGGAAAATGTTCTCGTGTGCACATGTTAATATGTCCATCGTTTACGTGGCATGCAATATTGGTGATGTTAAAATGTTAAAAAAAATACATTACAAATGTGTGCATGCCACATAAGCAGTGAACATATTAACATGTGTCTACCGTGAGTAAGAAAACATTACTGGATATTTGGATACAAAACAAACTACTCAGAAAATCTAAACATAGTTAACTAAAACACTTTATTTAATTTAATTTTAACTCAATGTCACTGTGATCAATATTATTCATATAATTAAATAAAATCAATCCATCATTCTTATCATCACGTCAACTTTATTCATATTCACTAGTCACATAATTTTAACTAATCTATTATTTCAAAACATCTTTCTCTTGCTTTTTCATCCAATAGTTAATTATTTTATTTTAAATATTATTTTAATATACACATTAACAACTAATCATACCAATTTTCTTATAAATTAATCAAATCACAAAAAATCCAAACAAATCTATTTTTTTTTATATTCTATCGCCTAATAGGAGAGTTAATCCGCCGAATGTGCCCTGCAGCTAGCTGTACTGTCCTTTTATATCATAACGCCCCAGAAGACTTTAGACGGTAAACTTTTTATAATAGCTAATTGCATCGTCACTGCGACTCCATCCTCAAGAAACCTCAACTCTGGTCTGCCCTACAGACTAGTATACACCGTTTGACTATATGCATGTGGACTAACTGCTTATATCAGAATTTTGACAAACGTATTAATATATTAACTAATTTCACCAACAAATTTAACTTTTTTTTTAACGATAGAAATATTATTAACTTTCAAAAGAGTACATCCGATTGTACATTGAAAATTCAAAATACTTTTGTATTTGATATACCAAACACAAAGATGAAAGAAGGCTCTTAAGAGAGGATCTACCCCGAGGCAGACGCACAAGACAGTAAAACTAGACACATTAATCCCTATAGAGAGATGAAACCACTCCCCTAATAGGAGACACACACTCTTTAAAGGAGACCCTAAAACATAAAGCATAAAAAATACAACAAAACCCTGGCCTTGTCGGCAACCTGAAAAACTAAAACAATATAATATACTAAAGTCCTTCTCACTGTCGGCAAGCTACTCTAAAGCTCCACACATGAAGCTAATGCCCATAGGCGACCACCAAGAAAGACAAGACCCCGACCATTTGTACAAATCTAGAAACTTTCAACTCCTGAAAGTAAAGGCTAAGGCCGACTACACTCGGGCTTACAAAATCAAAGCCCCCTTCCACAACCAACACCACCAGACAACAACACATGGAGACTGGCCATTATCGCCTCCCCCAACACAAAGGAATCTAGGGGAAACAACAATGTTGGCCCAAGCTCCAGCAGGCGAGCGTCGCCTGCAACTCCATCTGCAAAGCCTGGTCATCGGCTACACCCGTCAAAGTAGCTTGTTGAGAGAGGAGCTCCATATAGGGATAAGAAACTGCGACCATTAGAGATAAAGGAGACTGCCCTGATGTCGGTTAACGCCGCGAAGGAGATGAGAGCTCAGCGACAGAGAAGTAGCGCAACCGAGAAATTAAAACGAGGGTCTTTTTTCCTCTTGATTTGGGAGTTCTCTTCCTAGAGAGCGAAAAAATTGTAGAATGTATTATTGCATACCAACAAATTTAATTAATGATCGGTATGAATTATTTGATAAAATCCGTTGTTTGTTACACATTACATCAACTTTAATTCATTATTCATTCACTCATATAATTTTAATGACATGTCATTTCCAATCATCTACTTCATACTTTTACATCAAATCAACTTTAATCATTTTATTTAAATATTATTTTAATATAAACTTAAAATCCCACTAACAACTAACCACACCAACTTTTTTAAAATTAACTATGATTAACAATATATATAATCCCATTTCCCCTTTACATATTAATTCAAAACGTGTTGAACCTAAGTGGCAGACTCGTACGCTTTGGAATCTACATGTCACTATATAATATTTTGTATTTAAGTTCGGATAAAAAATTTGGAAACAAAATTACCTTTGAAAGTGCCATAAATAATTTTGTACTATACATCACATCAATCTCTTTCATTATAAAATTTGTTTTGAATTTAAAGATTACACAAATCTTTCTTTTCTTATTTTATTATTCCATTTTAAAGATAACTTGAATTTAATAATGGAGATAATAATGGATCTGTTATATGGCAGTGGATCGATGTCGAGTTAACAATGTTTCTTTTATTTGATAATTGAGTTAACAATGTTTGATTTGATAATCATTATTTTTATATTCTTTTATTTGGTAATTAACTTAAATTAATTTTTTTATATTATTTTATTTAATAATTAAGTTAATAGTGTATCCAAATGTTTGGAGAATATAGAGTAACAATTTCTTCACACTCCAAAATCTTGAGTTGAGTTTGTAACGGGATTCTAACACTATATTAAAATACTTAAATGCCTAATTTTGGGTGATTTATCCGGTACCAAGATTCATATTGTTGAGATAAATTATATATTCTCTATCTTTGATTTGATATGGGAATATGCTGTTAACGTGGATTTAATAACTTTCTTCACACATCCCTATTGATAAGCATTTAATTGGCGAATATGTAGTAACAAATTTATGTATACTCCAAAATCTTCAATTGAATTTTTTCACTTTTTAGTTAGTTGACAGTGAATCAATGTTGAGTTAACAATGTTTTTTTTATTTGATAACTAAGTTAATAATGTTTTATTTGATAATTATTTTTTTATTTTTTTATTTGATAATTGAGCTAACTAAAACCATATCTACATTAGTTATTTTATATCTTTATATTTGATAATTGAGAATAGTTTTTCAAATTTTTGGCGAATATATGGTAACACATTTCTTCACACTCCAAAATTTACAATTGAATTTGTAACAGGATTTCTTCCATTTATTTATTTTGTATATAGTACAATACTAAAATTTTTTACTTTTTGTTCATTTTTTTTCCATGCATCCGTGTAGTACACGGGGGTGTCGTACTAGTACCAATATATTTATAAACAAGCATGCCCATAAGTGTTTTTTTTTTTTCGGTACAATAAAGCAAGCCAAAAGGCCTAAGCTAGTACTCGTCGAGGATATGACACTCCGATAAGGTCATGATCAAGCCAAACACCGAGCCCCTCAGGCGGGGACGCCAAATGATGTACTCCCGTCGGGTAAGAAACCGCTAGACTTGCCAAATGACCTGCCGCACAATTAGCTTCT